AATCTAACATGATATGATAGATGGTAATTAAAGCTGACGATTGCCTATGACGATTAGTCGGCGGATAATTAAGCGATGAGCGAGCCGTGACGGCGCCGGCGCGGCACGGAAGCGGCCGCTCGTTCTGTGCAATCTGCGCGCAACCATGTGCATATGCATGCATGGCACCTCCTCGTCATACACGATTCAGCAGTCGGGGCGATGTTCCCTTCTTGTCACCTGTTGCCTTGAATAGGATTGTAACAAAGAACTGAGAATCGCATACTTTACCTTATTGCAGAATTATACAAAGCAAAATTACTTATAATCATAAGGCGACTGACCGACGCGACGACACGGAGAGGGAGGAGAGAGAGGCGATGCACACGAAACAATTAGAGCGCATGCAACTGTTGGCGGGCAATTAGTTTTGCTCGCCCGGTTACTTAACGTGGGATACTAACACGATGATAGAACTATTTTCATAGTGATATCAGGCGATGTTTTTATATTCGATCGGTATCGATGTAGCTTATTTAACTAAGTCTGCAGCTGGAACACACAATAATATGTTTCATCATCATCAACAACCTATTAATGTCAGGCCTTCCCTATGGATGGAATAGGGAGATTGGGCCATAACCCACCACGCGGGCCCAGTGCGGATTGGTGGGTGCTAACGACTGCAGATGCAGCCGGGACCAACGGCTTAACGTGCCTTCCGAAGCACGGAGGAGCTCGAGATAGTAATTTTTGGTCACGCATCCAATGACCGACCACTGCGGAAGTTGCTTAAGTTCAACGATCGCAGCCGAACGCGCTAACCACTTGCGCCATCGAGCTCCTCAATAATATGTTTGATATACCTGAATAGGATCTAGACATTGTCCGTGATGTAGGTACATGCCACAACGCGTGGGTATGATGACAGAAGGTTAAAGTATTGCGCCACTCATATGTATGTCTGCGGCTAGTCAAACAAAACCTAAGTAATGAGATATTGTCAAAACAATAGTTTTTACGTTAAGGGAACGGTGTCAAGTACGCGCGTACAACGCGCAAGTGGAGCGGGTCACGGCTGCGGGAGAGCTGCGCCCGCGCCGGCGCTAGGGTTACCAGATTGAGAAATCAAAATTTCTGGACAATATTATAAAATATCTGGACATTAGGATTTTTGGCTGGACAAAAAAATCAGCATGACTATAAAAAAATCTTATTATTACAAAACAAAGGAACCTTAATCAAACAAAATTAATATGAAATCACTTTTTCTGCCACATATTAGCATTTCCTTTAGCCGCATTTATCATTTTAGAACCTTTATCTGTATTTAGAAAAGATTTAAATTTAGTACAAGTCTCGTCAAAGTTCAATCGAATTATTGAATTCAATCCCGGGCATAGATAGCGAGAGGCTGCAGCGCAGCCAGTGTTGCCAACTCGGTGGTAAACCACTAATACTGGTGGTTTTTAATTTTCAGCTTCATTTTAGCTGGACATTTTGCCTAAAACCGGGACACTGGAAACCTGTGAAATAGCTGGACAATCCAGCCAAGTCCAGTCAATCTGGCAACCGTAGCGGGCGCCGTCACTAACTTGTTCAAGTTCTTATTTCTGTTATCGCTCATCATCGCGTTTAATAGGCACCAGTTGTGCGCGTGCGCATACGAATTCGCTCCACGAGTTATATACGCTCCGACCTCGTTTTAACACATTTTCATAACTAAAAGTCTCACCATCTTCATTCACAACTCGCAATTATGCAAAAGTAGAACATTCAATTTTGCTACGAAAGAGTTAAGAGAGTTTGATTAAATTTCATGTCACGTATTGTCTTGCTCTATTGTTATTGCAAAGAAAATAATAGCATCAACTAATAATCCACCTTTAAAAGTTAATCGCCTAGTGAGTTGAAACGTTAGAGCTTTATCCAAATAGATAACTGCTGATCAAGTTTTCACTTTTTAAGTTATTATTAAAGTTAAACTTTTATTAGATCGCCACTATTTATTTCTTTCGTCTCTTCGAACAATATCGCTTAGAAGCCATGTCTTAACCAAAGCAAGCGCGAAAATGCATGTTGAATTCTTCTTCTTATGTCCCGGGTTTGAATCCCCGCCGAGAAAGGTCTTTTTAGGGTTCCGTAGTCCTGACAAATAATCCTTATAATTTCGTAATGTCTGTCTGTCCGTCCCCGGTTTTGCTTGGAGACTATTAGCACTATAGAGCTGTAATTTTGTGGAGATATGTATATCGAACACGCCGACAAAATGGTAGATTTTTTTTCATAGACTGATATCAATTGGTTTTTCTTATTTCCGATATAAGAAATAAAGACTCCTGCTCAAATATATTGTGGTAACTACAGGCACTACGAAACCCTACACTGCGCGTGGTACAACACGCACTTAGACGGTTTGTTTTATAAATGATATTAAAAGTGTCACTTTAATCAAGTTTTTTAATAAATATAAGGAGAGGAGCTCGATAACGCAAGTGGTTAGCGCGTTCGGCTGCGATCGTTGAAGTTAAGCAACTTTGGTTGGTCATTGGATGGGTGACCAAAAATTACTATCTCGAGCTCCTCCGTGCTTCGGAAGGCACGTTAAGCCGTTAGTCCCGGCTGCATCTGCAGTCGTTAGCAACCACCAATCCGCACAGGGCCTGCGTGGTGGGTCATGGCCCAATCGCCCTATGCCATCCATAGGGAAGGCCTGTGCCCCAGCAGTGGGGAAATTAATAGGCTGATGATGATGATGATGAATAAATATAAACATTTACTAGACGCAGGTACCGAATATCACGGTCGCAATTTGCAGCACATTCGCATGCATTATTGTTTCTGTTGAAAACTTGTAAGGATGACAATGGCTCGGCGTCGGAGTCACATTCAAAAATATGCATAATTCAAAGTATGAAAGCATAAAAACAGTCAGAGCGTCTAATTATGATTGGCACGTAGCACGCACTCGTAGCGACGCGCTCGCCGGCAGGTGACGTGTCAAGGATGTCGCGACTGTTCCAACCAATACCAATATTAAACTTATGTTTACAAATAACCATCCACTAACTACCTAAGTACAATAGGGATGATGACTATATTTTTTTCTTCGTTTATCAGGTAGATTATCAAAAAGTATTGGACACGTGTTTTTTCTTTTTTCACATAATATAAACATTGCAGAGATATATTGATTTGAAAAGTCTCATGGCGTCACGTTTGAGTACACTTTTAAGCGAATATTCACTAAAAAGTGACGTCACGAGCCCCTACTTTCAAATTTTGACGCGCTATAACTTTGTCATTTCTTGGTTAATTGCCCAATAAAAATACGTGTCCATTATTTTTTGATCATCTAACTGACGGACTAAATAGAATTTCGTTCACTGTACCCCGTCATCACCCCTATTAAGTTATTGGTATTTCGATTATTTAACTTGCTCAAACTAATAACCTCACGCTTGATTGCGCTCAATACTGCAAGTTATTCAGCCCCCCAGCATGGGTTTGTTTTTATCACGCTTAGCTACTATGGAGTTTGACAGTTAGACGCAATAAAAATGCGATCCTAATATAAATTGTGGTGCTCATGCTACGGGCACAGGTATCTACTCTGTAAGTAAATGACTCGCTAAATTGTCGTTTTCTTCCCCGCGGCACGCGTGCCGAATACCGACACTAATGACTCTTAATAGGGCAATTATATATTCTATTTTATTATTTGTCGTAATAAGAATGCGTGTTGATGCAAATAAAGGCTATAATCTATCCACTTTGGGAATCATTTCCTAATGAATGCTTGCGTGTCCCGCGAGCGACCGCCAGCGCGCTCGTCCATGTCTCATCGCCCACGTTTCGCCGCGACAAATGAACAATCCACATTACATGCGACAGACAAAGCTTGTTCGAACACAAAGAGGAGGAGACGAGGATAATGAAGTCTAATCTTGCAACAAATGTAGTCCCTCAAACTTTCCAATCGGATATTTTATAGGTACTTACAAAAGCGCTCCACGCACGTGACAGCGTGATGGCAGCGACGTGAATTTCAGTGTTTTTTATAATTGTTAAAAAAAGTTTGATATGCAAATATGTATGTTAAATAGCTGGCATTAAGTTAACCGAAAATCTAACCCTATAGACACTTATGATTCCAGAGTATAGTACATGCGCTTCACTTATCTTACCCCTTACCCTGTGAAGCCACAACACCAGCAGTGTCAGAATGCAGGTGATCTTCTGTTATGTGCAGATAATTTCCCCAGACGGGCGACGTAAATTACAAAAAGCTTTTTATCAGGGGGACCCTCCTCGTGGGTCGAAGGAAACCCTCGATCCCATCTCACATACACCGCGGGATGTTGAACTAACGTGACATGACGTCACACAACGTGACTCAAATGACGTCACACAACGTGACTCAAATGACGTCACACTTCATTCATCATGCGTTCGTCGTCATGCATGCTGCGGTATTCAACGATTTATAAGACGACGAGTTATCACGTCAAAATATTAATTGGAACTGATTATTCACACAGCTAGCTTTGTGAATTCGCTCAGAGTACACTAGAATATGTCAGTTTTTTTAATGTGCACAATGCTAGCGTCGTTGGAGACTCACTTAATAATTTAATGCGTCCAGTAGGAAATTCGGGGACAGATCCGGCCGTCCCCGACGCCAAATGTATTCATACGAAACACCAACACTCATGAGGGGAGCCCTAGTAAATTTTGATTGATTTTTTTAATTTTATTTAATTAAATACATTACACCGAAGCACCTTGAATATATATGTATAACCAGGTTCAATAAGAAGACAATGAAATAATATCGGTGATTTTGACCTGTTCGTCGTTGTTAACCCGTATTGTAAAAGCTTATTGTTATTGTGTCATTCTCAACCAATTTTTTTATGCTTTTGCTGTCAAAAGAGTAACGTCTATAGATATGTCGGATGAGGCTGAAGCAATTAACATTAAATGTGTTGACAATTCCACTCATTGGCTGTGTTTTGCAGACGGCGGTGGCGGCATCGGAGGAGGCGGCGGGCTGCGGCGCGACGAGCACCACTCCACTCTCTCCAGGTATACACCCCGGCAAATTTCTTGAGCAAGCTCCAATGAAGCTTGCGCAGTGGCAATTTTACACAAAAAAACGTCTACTGCGCAAGGTTGTCTGCGATTTTGCTCAAAGAGTTTGCCGCTACCTTTACCATTCTACTCCATCTATACAGGCCACAGAGATCTGTGGCTTGAAATCAGCTGAGCCTGTTCTTAAATTATCTGTCATGCCATACATGACAACTCTCGGTAGAAGCCTCAAACAATGCCACATTTTCATCGTTAAGCTGTGCCATTAGAGTATATATAACTGTTCTTGGTTCCACCTTTTATGATTTACCAAGTTTACAGCGAAAATTTACTGAGTTATATGCTTTAATAGAATTAAAATAGTATAGAAACCGTCAGCTGCCATGCACACAGTAAAATACAACCAGGGGATCAGAGACGCTTAGTCCGAGATGCGGCTGTTTTATAACAAGGCAAATAGCTCACACCAGACACCTTAAATATCTATTTTATAAAATTACAGACACTTTGGTACTCTCCACAAGCGAAACACCGTAATAAAATATGTGTTTCCCCGAAAAAGATTTTATGTCTTAAGTGATGATGGAGTTACTGATAAGTGTGTGTATTTTTCAGTCGATACTGGAGCGGGTCGGACGGGTCCCGCGGGGCGAGGTCTGGGGCGGGGTCGGGTCCGGTCGGGCCCGGGGTGGGGCCGGGGGTGGGGCCAGGGCCCGGTGGTGGGGGCGGGGTCGTGTTGTGGGAGGACGCGGAGTTCCCGCCGTCGCGCGCGCTGCCCGACTCGCGCCGCCATCAGCCTGTGCTGTGGCTGCGACCCTATGTGAGTCACACTTACATCTATACTTTTTTATCTCTTCATTCCTAAAAGCTCGGTTTCGCTTCCCTGTCGAAAGAAAACAAACTTTCCTATTTTTCACTGGATCTTGTTGAGTTTAGGTACCGCCGTTGTGTCTACCATATTCTTAATATAACCTCACTACTGGCTCTTCCTATTCCCAAGTATCTAACGTCTGATAATATTTTGAAGTGAATTTCTACATATGTAAATACTGTAGTACCTATTAGACTTAACTATGATTGATTATGTTAATTAATGTACCAAAGAGAACTCATTACTGAATACAGGAACACGTCTAGAAGTTTCAATCGTTTTTTTAATAAAGAAGAATCAAATATATTTTTTCTAACGAGTAATAGCTATTAGATACCACAATAGATATTGGTCGCTAGTTGGGCAGATATCGCGTCGTATGGTCGTTAGTCAAGGCTGGTTGTCACCTGCGCCTGCGCCGCAAACGTGGCTGAGTGTCGTCTCCGTCCGTCCTCGCCGACACGCACCACCTGTGCAAATGACAACTATCTGTTATAATAATGTTCCTTCTGCTGTGTGGGTGCAAAACAACCTCGAGCCTACACTTACTTATTTGCTTAATGGTACTCGTGTACAAAAGTATACAGATGTTCCTTTATATTCCTAGTTACATGACCCTGTTATAATATTGCTAAATACCTACACGCAAACATTGCATGGTATAGCTGTTTAAACAAACGTAAAATGTTTTTGAAAAATTGACTATATATACTATATATTTGATAGGTACCTATTTTTTTTGCTAAAATAAACTAGATTGTATCTAATAAAAGCACGCGATGCGATATTATATTGATTTATGATATTATGATGTACATCTATCTCATTTTTGTAGTCAGATAGTTCTAATTAGTTCTATTTTGATCTTCTTAAAGCTTATTACTCTTTAAAAGTTTGACGTCCTCCGTGGCCGAGTGGTTTGTACGCCGGGTTTCATGGTGTGGCCGACTCGAGAGGTCCCGGGTTCGAATCCCGGTGGGGGCAAATGTTTGGGTTATGAATAAGAAAGCATTTGTACTCCAGTCATGGATGTTTAATATGCATTTCTTTATTAATATACTTATATATGTACATTATATGTATTGTATCCGTTACCCTAGCAACCCATAACACAAGCCTTACAGTGCTTACTTTGGGGCTAGGCTAATTGGTGTGAGTGTAAGAAAAAAAAACGACGGGTTGCACTCCGGGAGTGCCGGCAGAAGTGAAAACTTGAATATTAACGTTGTGCATTTTTGATATTTTGGAATGGTTAGGGAATAATTTTGCACGAATTGCTTTAATTGTCAGTATAAAAGTACTATCATTTATGTGGTAGAATACAATATTTATTTATTGCGCTATCGTACACAAACATGACAATTTATGTAAATTACATTAAAAAGTTTATCTCTCAGAATTACTCATTTAAGCGCACCTAGCGATTCTACCATCTATTGTAAAAAAATACATTTTCTGCGCAAAAAAGCTGCCACCTGGGGGCCAATCGCCTTACGGAAATGCTTTGGGAAACGCTAACGCTTACGATTTTATATTGTTATTTCTAGCCGCCTGAGGTTTTCGGTGGATGGTGAATACCTCACGCTCATTTTTTTTAATATTGTTATTACCAATGCAAAAGTAAAAGAAAGAGCGCGAGGCATTTGATGCGATCAGCCCACGTGTTTAACCTGACGCGAGTTTAACATTTTTTACCCATACAAAAAAGTGTACAATGCCGCTAAAGCAGTTTTCACTTCAAAAAAAAGTAAAATATACATTTCTTAGTATTTTTCTGTTTTTGGGATCAATTTATTTTTGCGCTGAACATGTGCGCGTTTAGTAAAAAGACTGTATCTATTTTTAAACTTGCCAATACTTATACCCCCTTATTAATAAACGGTGACTAAGCTTAGATTAGTTACTCCATGTTTTGTCTCTGTCAATAGAATGATATATGCCATTTGAATAACATCAACAAAACACGGCGTAACTAGTCTTAGCTTCATCAACAGCCCACCCTAGTCCACTGCTGGACATAGGCCTCTCCAAATGCACGCCACTCAGATCGATTTTGGACTACTCGCATCCAGCTCCTGCCAGCCACCTTGCGCAAATCGTCACTCCATCGTGCCTGAGGACGTTCTACACTACGTTTGCCTAGACGCGGTCTCCACTCCAGAACTCGTCCACCCCAACGGTTATCGGTTCTTCGGCAAATATGGCCAGCCCACTGCGACTTCAACTTGCTAATCCGGTGGGCTATGTCGATAACTCTGGTTCTCTGTCGGATTACCTCATTTCTGATGCGATCCTTCAGAGAAACGCCGAGCATAGCCCTTTCCATAGCGCGCTGAGCGACTTTGAACTTGTGGATTAAGCTTACTCCTTGTTTATTAATAAGGGGGAGAAAGTTGGATCCCTTAATATTTAGTAATTGTTTTCACTTTTTCCGTGCTATGCTGGTCTTGCATCGATAGAAAACCATATTATAAGTAAATTTAAAGCAACCGTCCGCTCGGAGGTGGCGTGCTGTCGCTTTTTTCGCTTCCTGGAAGTATTCGCGCTCGTCACGTACTAGGTGTATAAACTTTCGACTCGTGTCCAATTAAACCTATCTATATTATGAGCACTTTTGTAATTTGTCGCAGCGCACTGAAATATCCAACATTTCCCTCACTTTTTATCCATATTAAATACTTAGCTTATATAGGTACTACTTACATGATTGTGATTGAGGAGATCGATGGCGCAAGTAGTTAGCGCGTTCGGCTGCGATCGTTGAAGTTAAACAACTTTCGCAGTGGTCGGTCATTGGATGGGTGACCAAAAATTTACTATCTCAAATTCCTCCGTGCTTCGGAAGGCATGTTAAGCCGTTGGTCCCGGCTGCATCTGCAGTCGTTAGCACCCACCAATCCGCACTGGGCCCGCGTGGTGGGTCACGGCCCAAACTCCCTATTCCATCCATAGGGAAGGCCTGTGCCCCAGCAGTGGGAACATTAATAGGGTGATGATGACATGATTGTTTCAAATTAGTGTGAATTGTAACGAAATCCGAAGAATATTCTTATACCTATGTATTGTTAGTGAACGCCGCACATTCCTCGCGCTCAGATAACGATCGCGTTCGTCGGCCACTATGTTACCGCTAATACGCCGCAGTTAACCGCCTGGCCCGTTCTATCATAAACCTATTTACATTTAGCGGTATAATTACTTCGCTCGTTCGCAGACCACATGGTAGCAGAATAGTCATTGTCTGTCACATCAGTTGCGACAATTGTCCCCTTTAAGGTTCGTGCATTTTTTATACATATCCCAGAAAATAACCCCAGCCCACCTTATGCTAAGTACATGTGACGGAAGCCGGACGCGAAGTAACTGATTCAGCAGGAAAAAGAAAATTCCACATGAGCCAACCTGACGACTACCCCTACCTCGTGAAGCCCTGGATTGGAACTTTTACTTATTTAACAATAGACACATAGCGACACTCTTCTAGATGGTGAAGGTTACTTCCCCAAAATGGGCACCCGAATTCGAGGTTATTGGCAAGTGGTAATATAAAAGTCTTGTCGCGTTTATGTCTTACTAGCGGCCCGCCCTCGCTTCGCTTCGGTGTAGAGCTGAAGTGTAGACTACAGTTTTTGTTGTCAGGCTTGTATTATACACAATGACATTCATCTATGATTCTTCTTATACCTGCATGCAAAGTCTCAGCCCGATCGGTTTAAAATTGACAAAGTTTCATACAAACTTTCATTCCCTATTTTATCCCATTGAGGGTAGAATTGATCAAAATCCTTTCTTAGCGGATGCCTACGTCATAACATCTACCTGCATGCCAAATTTCAGCCCGATCCGTCCAGTGGTTTGGGTTGTGCTTTGATAGATCACTATGTCAGTCAGTCACCTTTGAGTTTTATATGTATACTAGCTGACTCAGCGAACTTCGTACCGCCCTAAAAAAATAGGGGTTGTCCAGAGGACAAAATTGTGAATCTAAACCATTCTCAGATCCCCTTGAACACACACAAAAAATTTCATCAAAATCGGTCCAGTCGTTTAAGAGAAGTTCAGTGACATACACACTCACAGAAGAATTATATATATAAAGATATAGATTTCATTTCGTTCATCGTAAGGTTTCTAAAGCTCTACGGGGTCGGGAATCAGGGGGTTTAGGCCCACAAGGTGAGGACAGCTAGTGTACCACCAGGCGGAGTGTGCTGCATCTTGTATTAATTAATATCGTAACAGTAGCGAGGCGAGGCGCGGTGGCGCGTGCGCACGTCAAACCGTCAATCAATCATTGGTCCGCCCGCCGCTGCCGCGTCGTTTTATTTCATTAGCGCGGAAGAGGCGCCTAACAACGGGACCACGGAAATAATTTCTGTGAACGGGACCATCGTCTCCCCCCCCCCTGACTCCCCCGTACCCCCCCCCCCCCCCGCTGCCGGCCAGCCGCTGAATTCGACTGTGCTGTGGGTGCATTCAATTAAGATTAATTTCCAAGCGATCTTGTGATACGATTCGATTAGTATAAAACCGGGTAAAAATATTCCATTTGTGAGTTTCCGTTGCGTGCGCTGGGTAAACGGTTTAAGTTACACAAAAATCATGTATAAAGGAATTCTCCCTCTTTAAAAGTTCTGTAAAAAATTCTTCAACAGCTTATGTCCATTTTTTAATTATGACTCACTATAAACCTTTTTCTTCAAATTAACGCGGGTGAAACCGCACGGGACCTCTAGTTGTGACATAACTGTAATAGTTAGACATGGTATCGTGGACTTTTTTGTAGATATCGGTATCCTCTACAAAACTTTATTACATCATTTCGCTCTATTTTCAATGATTTCCGCAGCGTACATGATATAAATCTATTATAAGGTATTTTTACATACGTTAGGTTACCCTATCGAAGTTTTCATACGGAACCCTAACTTTTTTGAAAATAACCTATA